TAGCAGATCCTTTGCAGAGTATGCCTCAAAGAATCTCGATCTCTCGCCAGCTCTCCCGCCTCCTGTACTTTTAATTTAAATCCAGTGAGTCACTTATATCATGTGCCCATCTTCGTGTTGGTGAGCCCCTGCCTCTCCTTCCTGGTACCATGCCTTCTGCTGTTATTTGGGGGGGGGGGGGGGGTAGCGGCAGTCCTCGTGGTGCTTGATATGACCAAACAATTTCGCTTTCTGAGACAAGATGCTTCTCATTAGCGAATCTTCTTTGATATTCAGATTTTTTTAAATGTCAGTATTTCTTCTCCTCTTTATCCATGATATTCTGAGAATCGACATCTTCCACCCATCCGTAACTCACCATTAGAGGATGTATCAGCATATTACTACAGAACAACCGGATCTGAAGTTATGCATTAACTTGCTGGCCTATATCTGGCAGAAAGACGCGTAATGAACAATGAATATTTCAGCAGAAAGGAGCACTCTCGGAAATATCCCATAATCGCGCAGGTCACAGAGAGGAGGCGACGTGTGTTTGAACGAGATCGGGTAACTCGATAGAGTTTCCATGTCGATTACATTTGTTTGTCCAGAGATGATTTTATGAAAATATTTTTGATCCCGTTACCGGGGCAACGTGTGTGCTTGAAAGAAACGCGGAGAAATTGGAGCAGATATATTTTCCTGGCTTATTGAATTTATCTTCGCTAGTTGCATGCTGCCAATGTTTCCTCCCTCTTGCTGTTGTTTGGGTGAGCTTAGTATTCGGCATTCTTCCATGTCTGTCCGTTGTCTTCTACTCGGGGCGTCCCATAGACATGAGGCCAATCACAAGAAGCATTCATCCACCCCCTTCATGGCCGCAGCTCATGCATGATCTGAATGGAGCGACCGAGATCCGGCGGATATGTTCTGAAGGGCATTCTCCGGTTATCAAAGTGCGGATATTCTTAGCACTTAATTGATCAGTGATCCTTGGCTTGTTTGTAGAGCTTGCAAGCTTCATAAAAGAAATAGCTACGCCCCCCCCCCCCCGAATATCATTGGCGGAGAAGGGAGTTGGTCACCTCACCTTGTCCCATTACCTTCGATGTTTCGACCAAGCAGACCCCTGTGCTATTTCTTGGTATTGGATTGTTTTGGTTTTGTCTGTTATGGAAGCAGTAAAGAAATAAGCACCACATTACAAAACAACCTATATTGTAAATGTGCATAAACATAGTCGCCTATATCTGGTAGAAGGACGCACTAAATGACGACTGTTTCTTTAGAAACAGAAAGAATATGTCAGAAATAAACCACAATTGCACAGGTCACAGAAACTAAATAATATGTGTGCGAACGAGATCTGGTAACACAATAGAGTTGCTAAGTCGATTACATTCCTTCCTCCAGAGATGATTTTGTGAAACAATGTTTATCCCGTGTTCCTAAAAACTTGCATGTTTGAAAGACACTCCTGGAAATTGGAGCAAATTTATTTACTTACTGGACGTATCCTTTCTAGATGCGGGCTGCCTGTGTTTTCCGTCTTCTTGCTGCTGTTGTTTGGGGTAGGTAAGTGTTTGCCATTCTTTCATGGCTGACCGTTCTGTTGTACCAGCCATTGACATTTGGCGATCGCAGGAAGAGCTTATCCAACCCCATCATGGCTGCAGCTCCTTTATGTTCTCAGTGGCGCGATCGAGATCCGGCAGATTTGCTGTGTACTACATTCAACAGGTTATTTAGTCAGCGCGAATATTTTGATCACTTAGTTCATCAGAAATCAATCTTCTTGCAGCTTCCAAGCTTCATAAGCTGTCCCGTGGGAACCAGCGTTGGCTGCTGGATGTAATGAGTCAAAATGTTAAAATAATGAGAGACGCTGTGCATAGGTACAGTCGAAGGTTATGCGGCAGCTTTTATGTATGTTTAATGCCGTGTGAAGAAAGCTGTTCAGGTCTTACTTTCCTATCCACACGGAAACGGGCAGATGCCACCAGCCAGCTTACATCAGTGCGCGAGCGCGCGCACAAACGTGTGTGTGTGTGTGTGTGTGTGCACGTATGAATGTATGTATGTGTGTGTGTGTGTGCGCGTGTGTGTAATGTGTGTAATGTATGTAATGTATGTAATGTATGTAATGTATGTAATGTATGTAATGTATGTAATGTATGTAATGTATGTAATGTATGTAATGTATGTAATGTATGTTTGTTTGTTTGTTTGTTTACCCCCGTTCTTCTTTATGGTTTTATCAATGTCTGTGAGTGTTGTATACTGATGAAGGCTTTCTGGCTGCAACCTCCAAGCGTAGATTTATGTATACTTTGACAATCTTCATCGAAAACCTTATATTCTAATATGTAGTTTTATCATTGTCCGTGTGTGTTGTATGCTGATGAAGGCTTTCTGGTCGTAATTTTCCTGCGGAGATTTCCGTAGTTTTTGACAGTTTTCATCGAAAATCTACTATTCTAGTAAGTAATTGTTATCATTGTCATTGTATGTTGTGTGCTGGAGAAGGCTTTCTATCCGCAACGTTCATTACGTCTTCCGTGATTGTGTTTAATTTGGGAATCTGACTAGTCCTACATCTCGTTTAGATTAAATTTTCTTCAGTGCACTTCAGGTTTAACGTTAATGCTTCATTTCGTTTCCTTGGTGACCGCCGTCTTTTTAATGCGCGTTTCTTTATGTTCTAGTGTCTGCGTGTCTGTCCGTCTGCCTGCTCTGTTATTTCTGTCTGTATAACTCCACCTCTCATAGTCACTAAAGTCCTGCACTGCTGTGCGGCAGGATAGACTCCGTGGCGGAGTGGTTAAACTATTTGCTATTGCCTGTGAAGGTGAAGAGTTTATTTAAGAACACGGCCCTTTGCCCCTCGAGTGTTGTGTTTTCGGAGATCCCCGCAGAGCGTCCCTGTGGCTACGGAGTCTAGTGCTTTAAACGACACTGTCTGTGAAGCGATAGTCATAAAGAGACCGAGCCATATGGGATACAACCTGATACAATAAAGCCGATCATTCCGCCTCTGCGTTATTTCTTTTTCTTTTCCCTGTGTACGAGTGTCGTCATTGCGTTGTGCATGTTTACAGCAAAGCTGCGATATTTTCGCCTTTCGGCCGACACATCCGACTTCATCGAGCATTCGTTAACCTGGTTAACTTCCCGGGGTGTTATGTTATGTTACCACTATCGGCGTCACTACGGTCCAACGATGCAGCAGAACATACCCACTACTCCTAGTAAGCATGTTGTAAAAGGCGATTATGGTAAGTTTTATAAACGTTGTGCTCAGCCGAAAGGTGTAGATATCGCAACAAAGCTGTAAACCACAGCACAGTGTGTCAACCGCCCTTTGTAAGGGCGATTGCAAGTCAAGAAGAAGAAGAAAAATCGTCATTAAACGAGAACCGTGATCGTATAGTGAAGTTATTTACTCTCATTTTATTGAGCTGTTCTCTCACATTCTGGTTTCCATTGTTATTCCGCCGTTTTTCATGTGAATGGTTCGATTTTTCTGTTTTTTCTCCTAAGTTTTCGATTTGCTCTGTGTTTTTTTTTTTTTTCCTCCTTTTTAATCCGGTCGTCTTGTTAACTCTTGGCTTGTAGCCGTGTGTGGAATAGTGTGTGGGCAGGACTGTTTAGTTAACTTATGTATAACACATTCGTTTGATTAATTCTTGTATTTCACATCCGTTTGGGTAATTCTTGTATATCACATCCGTTAGGGTAATTCTTGTATATCACATCCGTTTAGATAATTCTTGTATATCACATCCGTTTGGGTAATTCTTGTATATCACATCCGTTTGGTTAGTTCTTGTATATCACATCCGTTTGATTATTTCTTGTATATCACACCCGTTTGGTTAATTCTTGTATATCACACCCGTTTGGTTAATTCTTGTATAACATCCGTTTGGTTAATTCTTGTATATCACATTCACTGTGTAAAGATTAGAATATGGTTAGATAGACCGGTTAGTTTACTGTTGTATATCGCGATGTGTAGAGTAGTACGTAGATAATATTATTTAATTAACTCTTGTATATCGCTATGTAAAGATTAGAATGTGGTTAGACAGACCGGTTGGTTAACTGTTGTATATCACGGTGTGTAGAGTAGTACGTAGATAATATTATTTTATTAACTCTTGTATATCGCTATGTAAAGATTAGAATGTGGTTAGACAGACAGATTGGTTAACTGTTGTATATCACGGTGTGTAGAGTAGTACGTAGATAATATTATTTAATTAACTCTTGTATATCGCTATGTAAAGATTAGAATGTGGTTAGACAGACAGATTGGTTAACTGTTGTATATCACGGTGTGTAGAGTAGTACGTTGATAATATTATTTAATTAACTCTTGTATATCGCTATGTAAAGATTAGAATGTGGTTAGACAGACAGATTGGTTAACTGTTGTATATCACGGTGTGTAGAGTAGTACGTAGATAATATTATTTAATTAACTCTTGTATATCGCCATGTAAAAATTAGAATGTGGTTAGACAGACCGGTTGGTTAACTATTGTATATCACGGTATGTAGAGTAGTACGTAGATAAGACTATTTAATTAACTCTTGTCGTTTCACGGCGTGAAAAGTAGGAACGCGGGCAAAGCCGCTTGATTAACGTTTGAGTATAGCACGGGAAAAAAAAAGTGGTTTTGTTGACACAATATTGAAAGCCACTTTGCCGGGCTCATAAAATAATGCCATTATTATCAAGTGTAAACAGTTTATGTCTTCTTGGAAGCAGATTGTTGGCGGCAGTTTTGCCGTGTTCACAAGCTGCGCGATATGAACACTTGTGCTTGTTTTGTGTTAAGTGATAAGACATTAAAATGTTGAGACACATAATTGACAGATAATTGCGCCTGGAAAGCTCGCGAGTTTCCGAGAACGCCCGCGAAGTTTTATGGGAGCTTGACATTTTTACAAATTCGGTGGCCCAAGCTTTGACTAAGTTAGTATTTTCGCAAGGATTTTGTGATGTCGACCAGCTGTGACCTCTAGAATGGTCTGGGAAATTAAGGAGAAGCGGAAGCCCAGTATAGTGTTGATGATGCTGTCATGGCTGCACTTCCGGTACACGGGCCGGCCGCACCAGCGGAGCAGCCGGTCCGTCAGCTTCAAGAAGTACGTGGACCTGATCACGTACGACAGGGAGTACCTGGTGTCCTTCCTCGTAAGTTGTTTGTTCGAGGAGAAATTTGTGGTTGATTTATTTTCTCTCTCTCTCTCTCTCTCTATATATATATATATATATATATATATATATATATATATATATATATATATAATCTCTCCCTCCTCTCCCTCTCTCTCTCTCTCTCTCTTTTTACACTTTCCATTAACAAATATACCACTCGGTTTACACGCCTCGCCGATCTGGTGAACTTTTTGGCAGTGTTAACATAGCGAAAAGAACGCTCGCTGCATGTTTGCGCCACTCATGCAGAAACTGTGGCATTTGAGCGCTACCAGTTACTAATACTTTGATGCTAGCTGTGCGCGCATAATCTCAACAGCGAAGCGACAAGAATGAAGATTTCAACTTGATACCCTCTCCAGAGTAATCGTACCTGTTAACGGTTATTTTTTCGAAACCGCTTACACATGCGAAGTGATCCTGTCTCGCCACTGGTAAGTAGAGGTTAAACCTTATGTCCTAGGTTGAAATCAGCTTCTTTTTTCTTTTCTCTCTCTCTCTCTCTCTCTCTCTCTCTCTCTCTCTCTCTCTCTCTTCGACTGCTGCTTGGCTTATCAAAATATATAAAATGTTTGGATAAGACCAGTCATTTATTTGGCTCTGAAACTTGGAGAATAACTAAAAGAGATGAAGGCTTATTGCAGGTTTTCGAAAACATGGCATCATGAGAGCTAATAGACTGAAATACCTGGGGCATATTGAGAGAATGTCAGATGACAGAGAGGTAAAAACAAGGGAGCTGAATGGCCGTAGATCACGAGGCAGACCAAGAAGACAATGGATAGATAATGTCCAGAGAGACCTGCAAACAATTTGTGTTAGCAACTGGAAAGGGAAGGCCAACCAGAGAGGTGAGTGGAGGCGGGTTATATCTGCAGCAATGAACCTTGAGGACTCGGAAAGCCGAAGGAGAAGAAGAAGGGTTTGTTGTCAGTCAGTGTGTTCTCTCGCGGTTCCGTTTGGCAACAGTTTGAGCTGCGCTTCCGCCTCCTTTTCCCTATCTACGTCCGCCTTACCAGTCTCTGCTGTTTAAATATTGATGATCTCGGGGTAATTGTATTATTTGCCGCGTCCGCCTGTGGAGGAGGCTGAAGATCGAAACCTCCATTTGAATGTGGCGTGGAGTGGTAGGTGTTTGAGATAACGGTCAGCTTCGATGAATGAAAGGTGTCGCCGTGGCGTTGCTAGAAGCCCGCCTGTGGATCGGAAGGTCGTGGGTTCGTGTCCTGACGGAGCCGGACTTTTTTTTTCTAAAATGACTTTTACTCCCAGGTCGATCCAGTCTTAAGTGGGTACCAGGTGCAGTCCTGGGAAGTAAAGGACGCCGGCGTGGTGCTGACCACATCACCCACCAAGTGCCGATTGGTCTGTAAAAATATGCCTAGCCTGAAGGCGTTGAAAAGGGACCTTTACTTTTGTCGATGTAGGTTAGTATGGATGGCATTTACATAGCAGTATTAGAGTCAAGGGGATCAACTTTATTGCACCTGAGGGTATCCCCTCGGTCTGGTGTCTTTCCACAGATAGCCACCTGTCGAGAGTGTCATACAATGCACGGACTCCGTAGCTCCAGCGATGATCCTCGTGTATCTGTTACAAACTTTAAAAAAAAGATTCAAATAGACAAACTGTGACTAGGATGAGCTGACAGCATGCAGGAGTCTCGCCGCAAGAAAACGCCTTTATTATACACACCGTGATCCGCCCGGGTGAAAGAAAACGAGAGAGCCGATAGACTGGCCGTGCTTGCAGTAAGCGCGTAAGGACAGGGCAGACATACTGCAAGCTCTGCATTCTATAGACATTAAGACAAAGGAGTCAGAAACGATGAACCGCCTGTTGGAAATGGGTATTAAAACGAAACTATGACAGGCATGAAGAAACCATTTGCGGCGCACAGAACGAAGATATGCCAGTGAACTCTTGCTGGATGCAGTGAGCGTGGAGTCTCTGAGATGGTTGTTGCGTTGGAGAAAGAAGCTCAAATGGGTTGTTGATGTAAAGTCAAAAGTATCGACGTCGTTGCACTGTTTCGAATTTTTTTCCCGCATGGCTCAGCTTCTCTCCGCAGAACGAATAGCTGACCGCCAAGAGCCTCGCACAACGCACGAACTTCCTAGCTCCAGTGACAACCCACCGGGATCTCCGTAAAAGCCCCACTGTTGAAACGAAACCATGAATTTCAGAGCTCGATACAAACGGCTTGACTACCTCGGCACGGATGATGAATTTATTGTCACAACTGCTAGGACAGATGAGTCGAAACAACGTTTTATTGTATGCAGGTTCCCGGGCTGACTCGCCGCTGTACAAATGCTCATAACATTCCATTATTCTCGCGTTAGTTGCATCGTTGATTCTCCAGCTATAATCACTGAATCATGTGCCCGTGTTTCATAGTTGTTGGCTATCCGTGGTGAAAGACGGAATAATGATGAGAATAGGTGTACATTGTATGGTGTGGATGGGTGCACACACTAGAGAGGACTAGATACCGTGTTTCCTGGAATATAAAAGAAAAGTAAAGACCCCTTTTTACGTCTTTGGCGCATCGGGCATATGGGAAGAGCACCCCATATTTTTACAGACCAATGGGCACTAGTTGGGTAATGTGGTCAGTATTACACCGGTCGTCTTTACTTCCCCAGAACATCCATACCCATTTTAGGCTGGGTCGGCCTGCGACGCCCCAGACTATGATAAAAATCCACGCAGCGAGCAGTGGGTTTCGATCGCGTAAAGATCGTCAGCTTGAATAAGAGACGTGTCGAATGGCGCATTTGGAGTTCCAGACGCCAGTGGTGCTCACTTGATAATGAACAGGTGTGGTCCTGATCTCGAGAGTGATGACGATGTTCCAGAAGAAGATGGCATAACTGTATTTAAAAAAATGCATATTTTTATATCTAGGGGAAAAAAACATCCCTCTAAAATAACCCCTACTAGTACGTTTTAAGACGGACAAAATTAATATAATCCTCGGTCTTATTTTTGAGGAAACAGTGTTGTTTCATAGGGCACAATTAGGAGCATGAAGATTGTTAGCCATTGCCCTTTCGAGACCTTTCCATCTTTACAGGCGATAATGTTATATTGTGCATTGGTCACCAACCTCGGGGGGAAAGGGGGAAGGGGGAAACTAAGGGGGTGTAAGTAGGTTTCAACGGAAGTCAAGCAATTTTGAAAGTGAGTCAATGTGTACTTGCGGTAATCCGCTATACTTACATTTTCAATTAAAAATCGTGAGGATCTCGTCTATACTCAAGTAAGCTTGCTATATACTGGGGGAGGGGGGGGGGAGGGTCTCGCCTAAAGCTTGCCGTATATTTGGGGCGGGGGTGTGAGGGTCTTGCCATATACTCAAGGGGCGTGAGGGTCTTGCAATAATGCTCAGATGGGCTTGCCATATACTCAAGAGGGTTTGCCATATACACAAGAGGGTTTGACATATACTCAAGGGTGCTTGCCATATTTATATATTTAAGGGGAGATGGGGGCGTGTGGGTCTTGCCATAAACTATATATATATAGGTCTGTGATCAACACCACTGGAATACCTTTCAGGGCTTTTGGTCGCGTGCAGTGCTAAGCTGTTTTATTTGGCGCACATAACCTAGTCACAATTATAACCTCAAGCATGCCCATTCGGAAATGCTGGTTGAAAGTAGGGGGTAAAGGCCTGGTTTACCCTGCCTTACGCATTCGCGACCGGGTCCCCCATGTGCTCGCCGGTAGACGACTTCTTCGCGGGTCGGGAGAGTGTTTGGGTCTTTCTCCTTTGATTGCATCAACATTACATGAGTACTTGTCAAGGCTGTTGGTGGCGTACAGTGCTAAGCCGTTTTAAATGGCGCACATAACCTAGTCACATTTATAACCTAAAGCTCCCCCCTTCAGGGATTCTGGTTATACATGAGGATTTACTTTTTCTAGCAAAGCACCTACCTACCTACCCTTGCCTCAAGTTTGCAGGTCCTCTTCCTATAACGAGGCTAGTTTTGTCCGTTATGAAGATCTCTACCCTAAGCCGCTGACACAGCGTGAGATGTCATGTTTAGTTAACCGTTGGTTTTCCGGATTTATTTGTCACCTAAAGTGATAGAGGTACTTCCCGGACAGATTAGTCAGATCTGCTTTGAAGCTGGACTTTACCATCCCTGCGCCCCCCCCCCTTTTTTTTTTCGCATCTCGTTCGCCATCTCTGTCTCTTTCTCACTCTTTCTGTCTCTTTACCTCTCTCTCTCTCTCTCTCTCTCTCTCTCTCTCTCTCTCTCTCTCTCTCTCTCTCTCTCTCTCTCTCTGCGTACGTGTTTGTGTGTGCATGCATGTGTGTGTGCATGCATGTGTGTGTAGGAGAGAGAGAGAGAGAGAATCAACTTGAACGTGAAGCAGAAGAACTAGCTAACTTCCCCCTAGAAATATACACCACAATTTGTCAGACAATTTTCCTTATCATTGTACAAAAATAGAGGCTGCGATACTACTACATCAAACGCTATATATAATTGCATTTCTTTGAATGCAATCATGCAGATAGTTACCTGTGTTTATATGCGACATGGAAATACAACAGCTCTTATTATTCTTGTCACAATATGGGACGCAGTTTCTCCTTATTTTAAAACCTCACCCCGCTTGTAGTCAGGGATCCTAATTATAACCTAACGGTTGATCCCCATCCTAATGGTGGCACTTTGTGTCATCAGGTGTTGGTCGCTCATTGTACTGTGCTGGTGGGGTTGAACAGTTCTCAGTGAAGCACTTTGTGTGATTACTGTTGTCTGTGGAGAGAGCTGTTTGTTGATGGATGACCAGCAATTATGTTTTCGATATTGTTACTTTGAAGTAATAATGTTTGGGTTATGTAGTGGAAAGTGGCGTCTGTGGTTTAGGCGTTGCGAACGAGCTTCGTAATGCCGTAGTGCCTGGTTCTATCCCAGCTGCGGGCCTTGCACCTTGCGTTGGTTTCG